ACTTCTGCATTCTGTTCAGGTTTCTATCAGACTCGATGCATTAATTAATATGTATATATATATATATATATATATATATATACACACAGTGCTGTTCGATAAAAGTGACTCACCTATATTTTTTTTTGAATCATTATAAAGTACAGGCCCTCGAGAAAGCAGTTAAGCAACAAAGAGGATTTGATTGTGAATTTCATATCCGAATGGAATTCAATGTTTGGAGATGAGATTTGCCAGAACCTAATCAAGTCAATGCCAAAAAGGGTTGAAAAGGTTATTCAAAATAAAGGAGGACGCATAGTTTATTAAATATTTCGAACTATATTACCTATTATAAATAAATTATACCTCTATTATTCTTTATTTAAAGCTGTTCGGTTATGTTTCTATTGATTACTAGTTGCAGGAAATAGGTGAGTCACTTTTTTGCATAGAGTTTTTCCCTAAATCTCAATCATCTCCAAAATTATAATTATCAATAGAATACCTTAGGGTGAGTAAACTTTTTTACTAGGTGGTCGGGAAGGGGTCTTTATATTAGTAAAATTAAAAATTAGTTTGACCCCAAAAACATTAGGCGAAAATATTTTTAAGTAAAAAAAATCAGGTGAGTCACTTTTATCGAACAGCACTGTATGTATATGTATATTGACCACTTAAACTATCTTTCTATCTATCTATATATATATATATATATATGTGTGTGTGTGTGTGTGTGTGTGTGTGTGTGTGTGTGTGTGTGTGTGTGTGTGTGTGTTGGATTTTAAATCACCCCATTCCGAATATATATCGTGTACCCTAGTATTGATTGATTACATTGTGCATGTTCTTAGTCTTTGGTTTATAGTCGAAATTTTGAGATTAGCGCACTCTCAATGCATTTTCTTTTTAGAACCCTTTTTTCCACAGACCAGATTGGCATTTATTGAGTTGAACTTTTGGCCATATATATATATATATATATATATATATATATATATATATATATATATATATATATGTCTTTTTAGGTATATCTGATTAAATAAATTACTAATAATATATCTTATAATCTAATCTTTTCATATTCACGAATATTTTTCCGTATATTAAAATTGATTATCCTGTGAATATGGAAAGGAATGTGGGTGTAAATGTCTCGCAATAGATGAATGGTCATACATGTGTAGCAAGAGGATTTTCTGCCTAAATACACAAATTGTATATATATATATATATATATATATATATATATATATATATATATGAAGAAAAATACAAACAAACAAAAATCTTAATATGTAATTATGCTGTATTAATGTCAATATAAAGTCGACGTCGGACGTTTCGGTTTATTTAAGACCATCTTTATGGACATTTTCATTTAAACATAATTAACATTAGAACATATAAAAATTTAACACAAAAGACGATGGACATGAGAGCACAACTAATCCAAACAGATAACTGAAATTTTTATATAAGATCAGCATTCCGTTTAAATATGATCACGTCGTCGTCACGTGGGCGATGTTGTGAAAACGTATTCGAAGATGATTTCCAAATATTAAAATACTAAAAAAGTTGATTGAACTATTTAAAATTGTTCCATCGTTTTTGAAATCATTTTTGATTTGCTTTGTAACCTGGAGGACTTCAAGCTTGTATGAAGATATAAGAACCTATTGATCTCTGCGTATTCCTATATCAACGGAAGGGATTTCTTGAACTGTTTATATAAAATAATTTTACTACCCCTCTCACTCACTATTCTGCCATGCATGTACACAAGTTCGTTAGGTAGCTTCTTCTTTAGTCTGCTGTCTCTTTTCAGGATGTGCGCGATCATAGCTCTCCACAACTTT